CCAATCACGGGAGAGTCACAGAACTGACGCAGAGACGTCTCTGAACCCCATCGGACCCGGACTGACATAAAGGGGACGTGAACCCCAAAAGATGAACTTCTCTTATTTGCTCTGTTTTAGTCTTTTAAATAAATTACTAAAAATGTTTCATTGTTTATGTTCAATAAGTGGAAACGGGGCCCCCGGGGGCCCGGCTCTGGGCGCCACAAGGGGCCCGGCTCCATATCAACAAGTCCAAATGTTCCCGGGAGAAACAGCGCCGGAGATCTCTGACCAGTCACATCAGCTCCGTGTTCACCGAGGAAAGGAATGGAATCTTCAAAGAAACACCGGACCCGCTGAGACACATGGAGGAGGCTCCGTTATGTCACCGGACCCGCTGAGACACATGGAGGAGGCTCCGTTATGTCACCGTACACGCTGAGACACATGGAGGAGGCTCCGTTATGTCACCGTACACGCTGAGACACATGGAGGAGGCTCCGTTATGTCACCATACCCGCTGAGAAACATGGAGGAGGCTCCGTTATGTCACCGGACCCGCTGAGACACATGGAGGAGGCTCCGTTATGTCATCGGACCCGCTGAGAAACATGGAGGAGGCTCCGTTATGTCACCGGACCCGCTGAGACACATGGAGGAGGCTCCGTTATGTCACCGTACCCGCTGAGACACATGGAGGAGGCTCCGTTATGTCACCGGACCCGCTGAGAAACATGGAGGAGGCTCCGTTATGTCACCGTACACGCTGAGACACATGGAGGAGGCTCCGTTATGTCACCGGACCCGCTGAGAAACATGGAGGAGGCTCCGTTATGTCACCGGACCCGCTGAGAAACATGGAGGAGGCTCCGTTATGTCACCGGACCCGCTGAGACACATGGAGGAGGCTCCGTTATGTCACCGGACCCGCTGAGACACATGGAGGAGGCTCCGTTATGTCACCGGACCCGCTGAGACACATGGAGGAGGCTCCGTTATGTCACCGGACCCGCTGAGACACATGGAGGAGGCTCCGTTATGTCACCGGACCCGCTGAGACACATGGAGGAGGCTCCGTTATGTCACCGGACCCGCTGAGACACATGGAGGAGGCTCCGTTATGTCACCGGACCCGCTGAGACACATGGAGGAGGCTCCGTTATGTCACCGGACCCGCTGAGACACATGGAGGAGGCTCCGTTATGTCACCGGACCCGCTGAGACACATGGAGGAGGCTCCGTTATGTCACCGGACCCGCTGAGACACATGGAGGAGGCTCCGTTATGTCACCGGACCCGCTGAGACACATGGAGGAGGCTCCGTTATGTCACCGGACCCGCTGAGACACATGGAGGAGGCT